GCACGTGAGCCAAGTCGCCCCAGCATCGCCCCAGCAGCCGAGCATCAGATAACAGCACACATAGGGGCCATGCACACACTCAGAAAGGAGCAGCGGTGCCAGGCGATGATGTCACAAGCTGTGACTCATTAGTCACGACTCATCCGAGCTTTCATATGGCCAGTCAGTGCACTGTCAAGGATATATATGTATATTTGCTTGGACTGGCTGTGAGTTGTTTTTTTCTAAACTAAAATCTCAGTTTTCAGGTTTTATTGCAGTGTTAGCACTTTGTGATAAATAAGTGGGTTTTGGGTTGCAGTTTGGGCAATCAGTCTCTAAACGGTTTGGCATCACTGCCTTAGACTGTCAAGTCTTTTGAGAAAGCAAACTTAGCTGTCCCAGAACAAGAGTGCAGGACTTCCTATAAATCAGTAACTGGTTAAAGAGCAAAAAGGAGACAGCAGGAATAAATGGAACATTTTCTCAGTGGAAGAATGCATATACAGTTTTAAACACTGGGATCTATACTGGAACCAATGTTCTTCAACTTTCCATAAATGAACTTGAGTTACAAGTGAGCAGTGAAGTTACCAGGCTTGCTGATAACACCAAATTATTTAGGGAGAGCAAAATTAAATGAGATTGTGAAGAGCTCCAAAAGCTTCTCCTCAAACTGAGGTATGGGCATCAAAATGGCAAATGTGGTTTGGTATAAGCAAAATACAAAGTGATGCATGTTGAGGCAATAGATAAATAAATAAATAAAATCACAATTTCAAGGGCCAGCAGTAACTGACTAAGAAAGAGATCTTGGAGTTACGGTGAACAGCTTGATGAAAATGTTGACCCATTACTGGATGCAGTGAAACAGCAAATTCCATCTTAGGGATAAGTAGGAAAGTAATTGCCAATAAAATTGCCAATAGCATAACGCCCTTACACATTTCACAGAGTAGGGAACTGCAAGGGTGTGGGGCCACCACTGAGAAACCTAGTACCCAATGTCTCTTGCATCTGGGGCAGAGAGAAGAGTCTCTGAAGCTAATCACAGTACTTGGGCGAGCACTGTGGTCACGACTATTTAGAGCTTTAAAGGCCAAAACCTCAGCTTGAACTGGGCTCAGAAACTAGCAAGCATCCATGCAACTAATACAAAATGAGAATAATAGGATCCCAACACCAAACTGCACACATGTTCTAGCTGCCACATTCTGTCCCAGTTGAAATGTCTGCATCATCTTCAAGGGCAGTCCCTCACAGTGCACACTGCAGCAGTGTAACCTGGGGGAATAACCAAGGCTGACTGGTTATTCGAAGAGCCAGCTGGCATCTGTTCCAGTGAGCCACATGATCTGAGCTGCCCCATTCCTCACTGATACGGACAACTGAGTAGAGAATTGTAGGGTCACTACGGGATGGGGCTCAGTCGAGATGGGAGAAAACAATACAAAATTCCTCACAACAGGGTACATCTGCTTGTGAATCTGGCTAAAGCTTCAGACAAGCAGACAACGGAGCTCCTGTATGGTTATGTCAAATACATCAATAGCTTTATTCTTATAAGAATTACATTTCAGTACAAAGCAATTTAATCCTGGGGTTTAACTTCTATATATGGTAAAACCTTACCAGAGTACAAACCTCCTTGAGCATGGTGAGAGTTACTCGCAAACAAGATGCATAAGAATGCACTACTCAATATAAGGTTACCCTGCACAAATTGGATATACACAGATTCAAATTGCTTGGTAAATCAGTTTAACTGTGTTGCATTTGAACTGCTGGCCACCATAAATTTCTTCTGGTTAACCCAATTTTGGATCATCTTCATTTATGGATGCCATCTTTCTATTTGGCAATTCGACAGACTAGCCATTCAGCATGATAGTGGGGTGAAATGAATACCTCAAAACTCTTATGGTAATCAAGTATAATCATAGTAAATATCATTCTATTTTATTATTAACTACAAAATTATAAAACAAGCCATGCATCTAATCATTATTACAATCCCTTATTTTCCTACATAGCAATTTTCCTTTACAAAATACATATGACAAATAGAACGATAACATGTCTTGTATTTCTGCAATACAGACTATTAGTTACTTTTAAAGCACTTTCCGTTGCACTTGATCACTTGCAAGGCTGCCTTCAAGCCCCACACACATTTTTGAGATGGTACTGATCAGACGTACGAGGCTTTATGTGGACAGAGGGAGAGACGATCCATGACAGATGAGCATCCCTTTTCCTAAGCATTGCTAAGCCCTTGCCAGCTAGGACATAAAGTGGGGGATGCAGCTTTCCCCCACAACACACACACACTTTTGAGATGCCATGGTTTTTTTTCCCTTTCATTTTCCCTTCCATGGGTTTCAGTGGGAAACAAGATAGCAACATGCCCTGCCCCCTATCTTCACTCCCAGAGGTACAGCTCCCAGGGGATGTTTGCTTTATTCGTAAATATGGATTTGATTCATACCCCACCTTCCTCCCAAGAAAAATCGTACTCAGAGCACTTTTGTGCTGTTTTCAGTGTGGTACCCCTGGCATGGTTGCCGTGGGTTTCTAGGGCAAATCTCTGTGGGTGGACCTCTCTTAATCCACAGAAAAGGAACTCTGTATAACTTCTGTTCCTGGGGACAATACGATTGGGCCTTAATGGATTTTTGTTGCTATTTGTTGATGTTACCTGGAGTTGCCCACTCAGCCTGACAAGGATGCAAAAGACAAAACCTTGTCTTTGGCCATCAGCAGCAGGTTGCTGCTTGAGCGAAAGGCCTGGTCATCTGACCCTGGTACTGCAGTGCAGACGTCCAGGCTGAATTCATATGAAAGCCCAGTGCTGCCACTCAGACAGCATATTGAATAGTGAACCGCCCAGGTCTTCTAGCACCCATCTAAAGAGTCTTCTAGAGTCCATCTCAGAACTGAGGATGGGCCATTACCAGAAAGTCCAGGCAAGGAGGGATGGACCAGAGGAGATATCTTCCACTCTAAAAGGATTTGGGGGCTCCTGTACCAGCACCATAAGAGATTGCAGCAAGGTTTCTCTGGTATAGGCTTGCAGACATAGCCTTTCCCCCTAGAAGAAGGAAAGACCTGACACAGGCATGGGGAGAACTTTACCATAGACAGAGAAGGTCTTCAAGGAACCAAGTAGGGAGTTTGCACAGGGTTGTGCTAGCTAGACTGATCCCTCCCCACCCTGCCAACTTTTAGTTTGTCTTTTGCCACTTATTTGCCACTTTGAATGGTTTATTGTTGTGTGCTCAGAGTCTAACCAACTTCTTCCTTATTCTGTACTTTTCCTGAATCCTTTATTGTGTTCTCACCAAAACACTGACCTGTACTTGGTGGTTGAAAAAGGAGAGTCTCACAAGGAGTACATTGTATTTTGAGGTCACATTAAAGCTATTTCAAAGCTTGTTTGCATGCAATGTGTGAAGTAAAACCTGTGATCTAGCTGTGTCCCCTTAAGGACACATGCAAGATACAAAGAAGCCAAACACAAAGGACCTCAGTGAGATCCATAACCAGTTGTTCCCAAGAGACCAAGGATGCTTGAGAGTGTGTGTTTGTTTTACCCTTGGTGGTGGCACCTGGTACCAGTTGCCATAACTACACCAGATCTTGAGCCAACAGACCTGCTAAAGCCGCCAGGTTCCTACAATTTATTATTACATTTATACTGTATCCCTTCTCCTCTTGCAAGGGACTCAAAGCAACTTACAAAGAGCCACCTCCATTTTGTTCTCGCAACAACCCTGTGAAGTTGGTTGAGCTGAGACTCAATGATGGGCTTAAAGCCACCCAATAAAATTCCTGGGCACATGGGGACCAGTACTGGATTTCCTGAATCCCAGTCCAACACAGTAACCACTATACTATATTGGGTCTCTTCACAACGGTGGGGAGTGGGACTTGAACCTGGATCGCCTGCATTCTAGGCTAACACCAGCAGGCCTCCACTCCTGGCTGCCATTTTAGCTATACCACCTGCCATTGGCTCCTCATAGATTAAGTAGCATGAATCTTCCCCACCTGCTACCAACTGATCCATATTTTAAAAGATGCATCAATTCTAATTTCAGTGATGCACTCAAGTTTCATTTGCTTGTGGTTTTACTACTTGAAGATAATCTTATCCAGAAATATATGCTAGTTTTGGCTGGAAACTAAGAGGAAAGGCCTTGTTTAAGCTTCTTTTTCATCAAACGTGGTACAGATTGCAGAGAGTTGGGACAGCCTACATGGTGGGATTTACTCTCATCCCACCAATTAGTCATGGGATGGGTTGGATGGGAGAACATTAATCTGTAAGAAAAGCTTTTGTTGTTTAATTGGCTTAATCAGTAGACTAAAGCTCGCAGTCCTACTTAGTGCTAATTTCACAAAATTGCCTAATTATGTTCTATGGTTTCTTTCACTCACTGACTTTGCTGGATAAGGAAACCACAAGAAGCTCCCAAAAATGGGAAAGGATAAAGTCTGCTGGGTCCCCAAACAGGATCTGGCTGGCATCTGCTTACCACAGGAGGTGAAACGTAGTGTCCCCTGGTGGTCATGAAAAGATTTTTAAAAGGATGAAGAATACTGAAGGGTCTGAGAAAAGAGAGGTTCATAGAACATGGCCAGCCATAAATCAGGCTGAAATTTGAATTTTAAAGCATGCCAACTACATATATAATAATTAGTACAGCTATTGATCTGGTGAATGCATTTATTTTTCATTTTATTAGCAGGTGAAACTCTTTCTGGCACAGAAGCAGTGGTGGGTGGAGGGTGGGGTTCCTCACATCCTTGCTAACTTGGTGCGCATCTGGCAGATGTTCAAGGCACAGGAGCAGCCGCACGAACAAAAGAAGCAATCCTAGACGTTCAATGTGTGAGCTTCCCTGACACATCCTCTGATTTCTCACATTACTGCTCTGAGTGCTATTTTTTGGCAGAAAGATGGGGCACAAAACCTATCAATCAATCAGTCAATCAATCAATCACCTAGGCAATATTAGAAAAAGAGTCATGGCAATACATCTCTAACATTCCATAAATGGGTCTAAAATCTATTCTGTAAAATAGGCAGGCTTTGATGGAAAAATGTACTACTTTGGACTGTACTATTCTGGACTGTGCCACTTTAAAGTGCAGGTGTGCATACTGAATCCACACAAGGTCTATAAACATGGATACATAACAGGTACGGGGCCACATGCAATGCAAGACGTTCTTACGGGCTCTTTTACACATGCTTCCTGGACAGTGAGTAGAGCCCCCTGTACCATCCAGAATCCTGATAAAACAGGATTCCCAAGCAGGTGGGAAGTTCTGCTTACATTCAGGAGAGCATGAATAGAACCCCCATGTAAGAACTTGAAGCTAAACCCAGCAAAATCTGAAACAGGTATGGTGGGGTTTGGAAGCAGAACCTGTAGGCACAGCAAAGTATACTATTTCCCTGCATCTAGACAGGCAACGGAAAAGGGAGAAAGCTTCAGCCCTGATGTGCTAGCTTATTACATGATGGAAGTACTGCAAAGTAACACACACTTTCACGATCTGTAGTGGTACATTTCAAAATTTTACCACCTTGGTTTTCTACTACCTCTTTTTACCTAAGAGGGTAAAAACAGCATAGTTTGACCTGCTATAATATTTAAGACTGCCCATGAACAGGCAAGCAAAGTAAGAGGGGACTGTAGTCGTACAGATGTGGAAGGAACTTTCACAACTACAGTTTGGAAGTAGTTGTACAACTCCACAGTTCTGCAATTTACTCTGTGTAATATGTAGAATATCCCTATGATGTGTTAGGTCTGCAGGTCTTGTATTTCTCTTCTTAGGAGGAATTGGGAGCAGGGGGAAATGGTTCACATTATTCTGTAATTTTAAATGAGGAAAAGGTCTTTAGTGTGCCATCCTATACATCTTTACACAGAATGAAAGTGTTCCATTACCAGTATATGTCACCCACAGGTAGGTGTCAAGTCCCCATCCCCCCAGAATGGTCTGGGATGCTCTTTTTTGAAGCAGCTAGTGTCTCAAGGAAAAGTGCAAAATGTACAGGACCCCAAATATGGTGCAACTGTTGATCTCATCACCTTCTTTTCACAAACTTCATTCCTTTGCCCTGTAGTGATTGCTTCCCTTTTGATAGCTCTTAAGGGAAAGCAAAGTAGATAAATGCCTTATATGGAGCCTCCCAGGTCAACATCTATGGTTGGTACCTGCTGTTGTTTGGCAGGTATTCATCAGGTCATGGCCCACTGAGGCTTCTTATTTTTGCACTCATGGAACTGCACACTTCCATAGTTGTGGGAGTGTGGCTACACTAAAACAGACAACAATATTTATGGACATGGCAGGCACATTTTTTAAAGATTTCATGCCAATTGGGCACTTTGAAGGGGTTGTCACTGGTTGTCCTCGTGGTGATTATGATCTCAAACCCAGAGGTCACCAACTATGGTCAAAAAAAAAAAGAGGGGCAAGTTGCTAGAGCTGGAAAAAGGACTCATGCTTGCAGCAGGGCACTTGGTGGTTAGCACCGGTGATAGCTTGGCAAAAGTTCCAAGGCAGTTTTCCAAACAGCTTGCTCATTCCGTCCCAGTTTTAATGATGGGAACAATAACCCAGGTTCAGAGGACACAGCAGCCCATCTTGGATAAAATAGCCCCAACAGCAAGCAGTGGGTTGGCAGGGTGGCTTGTGGGAAACGGTCTGAGTTTGTATGAAATGACAACCCACTAAGACTTGTCACCCATGATAGGTTGTCATAATTCCAATCATGATGGGTGTTTAGCAACCCAATCCCTCTGCCTTTCTGATATTGAAGAGCCCATGTCCTCTGATCTGTTTTAAACAAGGGGGAAAAACACCCACACAGCCATTTATTTCTGCCTTCTCTCATGCATCTGTCTACTGCATCGGTGCAAGGAAAATGTGATTGTTTTTAAAGACTGGAAATAAATATTTCTCTCCTTTTCTTTTATGACCAGAACTCAAAACAAAACTACTGTACTACGGTTCATAAAGAGATGCATCTCCCTTTCCTGTGGCCGGAACAGGGAGAAAGCTTTTGATCACATTACATGTGTTAATCATTGCACCAGAGCAAGGACATCCGTGTCATCAACCAAGAACAGTTTTGTAAATGGCCACTGTTAAGGTAATTATCACTATGTGCGCTTTCTGCATTTCAGTTCCCCTGATCTCACCTTTTACATTTCCCCCACCTCTGCCATACATGTGTAAATTTATCTCCAACCAAGGATAACTCTTCACACATCTAATGAAGTGGACTATATCTGTACACAAAAGTTTATTTCAGAGGTGAGCAACTTTGGGTGGTCCAAAGGCCAACTTCTTCTGCCCTAGGACTCCCATATGGCCACATTCCAACTGCAGCTGCAATTCCCAGTGGCAATTTAAAACAAAAACAAAAATCCAGAAATTTGTGGATGAAATTCAGCAGCAAACCACTAGGAAGACTTCCTAAGAACAAGTTGAGGTTGTTTTTGAGCTAAACATGTCTTTAGGAAGCCCACATAATAGCCATTTAGGTGGCAAAGCAGTGATCCTTAAAAAATGCTGTTGGATCCCCATCAATATGGAGGACAGTGGAAGCTGGTGGGAGTTCCAGGGAGGATTAGTGGGGGCTGGAGCACGTATCACCCACCCCAGCTCAGGCAACAATAAATTTGTTTGTCTTTAAGGTGCCACAGGATTATGTGCTGTTTTCCCAGAAGCACACAGTAAAATTGATTGGTTACAGGTTCAGGACTGACAAAGCGTTTCTTCCCAGAACACATAATTAACTTCTGGAATTCATTACTCCAAGATGTGGTTCTGGCCTTTCTTTTAGATCACTTTTAAATAATATTAAACAAATTCATGGAGAATAAGACTATCAGAAGTTCTTTGCTACAACAGCCAACTAGAACTTCCATTTCCAGATGTAGTATACCTCTCCATATTGGGTCCTGAGAACACACAGTAAAGCCTTCTTGAGCTTCTTGCTCATGATCCTCTCCCAAAGAGGCCTCTGTCTGCCCACTGCCAGAAGCAGAATGCTGGGCTGCATGGAGCGTCAGTCTGAGATGTAGGTCTGCTCTCCTGTTTTTGGAAGGACAGTTAACCATGCATGGATTCATTTTAGAGTAATTTCTGTACATGTGCCTTGAAAGAGTAAAAAATAGCAAGCAAACTATTAATACTTGTGTAGATAGCATGTCTATTTCTCGATGACCTTTATTATTGCGCAAATGTAAAGTGGACCAAAAAACAAAACTGGTGGACAGCCTACAGGAACTTCTGGACTTTAATCAACCACAGTCCCTGCCAGGATTCAGAGTAATTTCCTAACTATGAATCAACCTGCAGACAACAAATCACACACTGGAAAAGATTGCCAAATAAAACAAACCATCACATATAGCTTGTGTAGTGTGGCCTATGGAAAGGCCTTTGATTCACTCTGCCGATTGAGCAAATAGTGAGTGAAGTGTAGAATGAAGGGAGGAGAATCCTAAACCACATCTGTGAGTGATGTGACATTTAAGCCTGACAAAGATTAAAGGCATTAAGGCTAAGTTAGAGAGTCCTTGCAAGGAGACATAATCTTACTTGGAAAAACATACTCATCCTTTGAGCATTTTTCTTTGAGGAGAAAAAGTACAATACTGACATGCTGGGAAGAGACGACATCCTGCTTTAAATGAAGTTGTCTTGGCTTAAATCAATTCAGGCCCAGAGAAATAACCCCTCACTGATACAAATCGGGCAGTCACTTGGGATTCTGATGTTCCCATTTCTCAAGTATATTTTTCAGAAGCCACTGAAAGGAGGAATACTCACCAAATCCATCTCACTGATCAGCGTAGCTTAAGGTTTTTAGGTGATGTGTTTGCCATTTTTTGCATAATATAAATTGCCCTTAAGAGGACTGAAACCAACAATACTGGCTCAATCTCTAGATTTAGGTACAGAAAATCAAGAGCTACTGTAATCTGTGTGGCAGGGACAGCAGGGAGTTGTGTGTGAGTGTGAGTCTCAGCGTCAAATGTTGTGCTATCTTGAAGCCAGTAGATGTCCTTTGCGAAGTAATGTTTCAGTCTCAGTGACTTCTTTCTACAATGATAATACTTGGCTACCTTGCACAATTATAAGAATTACTAAGATAATGTAAGTGAAATAAATGGAACAATTAAAATGCTATAGCAGGACTAGCAGCAGGAATACCTGGTATCCTTGGGCACCTGGCACAGTCCACCAGTGCTGCCATTTGCCTCTCCCAGATTCCTGGCCTCCTGGCTGCAGGTTCATGGCAGCATTGCCTGGTAACCATAATGATTCTGACTTTCTTCAATGGCCTGTTTCTCCCATGCATTGTGGGGAAGTTAACACGATGGACTTTTCTCCAGCTACTGGCATCAAGTAAGTGCTTAGCTGGAGAAGCAAAGAGGGAGCAAGGGGGGGTGCGGCATCTTGCGCACTACAAGCTTTCTAAATATGACGACCAAGAGTTGTAAAATGCACTTCTTTCTTTTGTATGCTGTAGACCTTACTGTCACTCTTCACATGGAAATCTGCACCTTGTTGATCTGGTTCACACCTAAATGTTTTAGTCTGCATCTTTCATTATGAGATTTGCTGTGTGGAATTGGTATCTATTTCTTATTCTGGTCTTTAAAGCCATTAGCATTTGTCTTTTGTTCTTTGATAGACAGACTCCTGGCTGTCAGGCTTGCAGTCAGAAGGAGTGTGACAGGGACTACTTGGTCATGGCACACTGTTTCTTAGCCACAGGCCATATCAATGCCACAGGCCTTGCAGGGCCTTTTCTGCATGATGAAGTGTGCTCCCTCTTGGTTGGAGAAGGTGTGGGGCATGGCAGGAAAGGAATCTTACTATCAACACCTTTCAAATATACTTGTTGAATATTTGAAAATCCTTTATGTTAATCCAAGTCCAATTGGGTTTACAAAGAGGAAGGTCAAGAACACTTCTTGCTACAGCCAGAGTGTAGGACACAGAATAATCAATTCAAGTTGTGACAACCCAGATTCAGCAGATTCAGGCTGGACATCAGGAAAAGATACCGCACTGTCAGGGCAATGCAACAGTGAAGCCAGCTGCCTAGAGAGGTGGTGGGCTCTCCCACACTAGAGACATTCAAAAAGAAACTAGATAGCCATCTGCGTGGAATGGTGTAACCTGGTGTCCTGCAACAGCAGGGGGTGGAACTGATGGCCTTCATGGCCCCTTCCAACTCTTCTTTTCCATGATTCTATGATACAGTACATATCCACATTGCTCACTTTCTGGTCCTACGGGAAGTGTTGGGCATGTGCTTCTGTCATTTAAAAGAGAACTTATAGATCTATACAAACTATTATTTTTCTGCAGACTTAGAGATTTCCATCAGCCTTCTCAGTGGGTGGGCCTTTTTAATGGTCCCACTGGCTGAGCCTGACCAAAGTGTTTGCTATTAAAAGGAGGCAAGCTGGCCTGCGAGAAATTACAGGAAGGGGTAAACAATTGAGAAGGGTCCCCTGTAAGGCAGAATGGTTGACTTCTGGAGCTAGGTGAGTAGCTTCCTGGACCGCAGCCATATAGCACTGCAACGCTGTTGTTCCTGGGGCTCAGGTGAGCCAGAAGCTCTATGCTGCAAGAATGGGAATGAAGTTTCTTGATGCTGCTTGAGTTCCATGCCTCACAATGCACACCTCCAGCCTATCTGTTCCAGGAGGCTCTGTTCCCCTCACAGCTGAACTATAGTGATGGGGCAGAATTCATTGCCTCTGATCCTATTATTTCCCTTCCCCAGTGGCTCTGTTCGCTCGAAGTGACTAAATCTCAATAAAGCATATAGGATCCTCATCAGGCAGAAAGAATGAGAGTCAGGCCTGAGAGCTTGGGTAGGCTTCTGGTCAGCCATCATCAGCATTGATTGTGTGTGGTTTTGGCTTTATTTGGAACCTACAAATTAATGTTTCTGCGCATAACTGTGGAGTCTTCCATACACTGTTGGCCACATTGCACTGTCCTACCATTAGGCATGGAACCTCCAAATTCTCTCTCTCACCCCCCTCCCCGCCCCAATAGCTGTCTTTTAAGAATCAATTCCACATGTGTGCACACACATACACACTCTGTTCTCTTTTTCTCACCAGTGAGGTGGGAATATATGTAATTCTTCTGAGTGACCACAAGAGAGCAATAGGAAACAAAAACTGAGGACACTGTTCAAATTCCCTTTGAGTATTCTGTGGAATCCTCTTGAGGAGAAAAAGTAGAATGTGGACAAGCTGGCGAGAAAGGACATCCTGCTTTAAACAGAAATGACTTGCTTTAAATCAAATTCAAGCAGGGAAAACAACCCCTTACTGATAAAATCCTACGATCAGTTGGGATTCTGGTTTTCCCATTACACAAGCATCTTTATTTCTCTGTTTATTTTTAGTAATTATTTTCCAATGGAAGATTTGGAAAGAGATGGAGAGAGTGATTAATTATACAAATAATGGCTGACTTTCTGAGTTAACAGGCATAAAATATTGCCCTACTGAGCAAAAATAAGGAACTTTGTTGGAGACCTTTAACTTAATGTCAAAGATAGTTTAATGAGGGTTAGTGGAGGAAGGGCTAAGGATGCCACAGTTCCAGTTCCATTCCTAAGTAGCAGCACACACCAAGTGAACTAGCAGCCATGAAAGTTCTTAGGGATCCTTTGATTTGTATGCAATATTTCTACCAGTTCCCTGGCATGACATATGCTACTACTCTCTTGATCACTTCTGGAATAATTGTTGTTATACTCTTCTGTTTATCTTAGGCTATGCTTAGCCAGATATGCTATTGATATGACCCTGGGAAAAAGAAGAAATACATATATATGAAGTGAAATATTTGGAATATAACATGAAAATGGAAACACTACTGATCAACCTTCATGAAAGGAGGCTGACCCATAATTACAAATGATTGATGGCATTACAATATGAAATACCCCAGATTATTTATATCATTTTGTCAATTAATCTATTTTTAGTAATATATGCATTTCTTCTAACTATATGTGAGTTGGGTGGCTTACGGTTTTGCAACAAAATGATCTGCTAAGACCACCAGTTAGTTCACTAATTGCCCTTATTATACCAATGAACTGGGAATTTCAGTAGTTCAAAAGGACAGAGCACCAGCATTATTTTCTTATTTTAAAAAATCCCAATCATGCCTTTTAATTAAAAAAAATGTTCAAGCTTAAATTTGAAGCAAATTAATAGCAGTAAGCAAACATCCATCTAAAATATGGAAGACATCAATCATTAAATATAACACTGATATCACCAAAATTATATGGAAGACCTGAAAACAACAAAAGCGATTTTACTGAACACTAATGGCCTTGACTAGTTGAAAGGTATTGCCTTGGGACTATAGCATATTTTACTGTACATCAGGCAAGCAGTCCCAAAATGGAGGTGCCATCACCAAGACCAGTCTCTGCATACCATCTCCTTCACCAGCTCCCAGGGGGACAGAGAAGGTCCTCTGAAGCGTAATTCATCAGGTCATGAGGACTGTCTGTGAATAGGCAGTTCAAAAATATACAAGGCTTGATGTTGATTCGAACTCATGAGCTGCTGACTGATATTTACTATAGCAAAGGCTTTTGCTTTGCTCTTGTATTTTTGTTTTTTGTGTCTGTTCAGTCAGCAGAAGGACCTTACAGTGCAAATATTTTAGTAGCATATAAGAGAAAATCTGTTTGCATGTGAGTTCAGTGGTTCAGCTAGGCCTATCCCCTTAGAATACTTTGCCAGACAGTGTTAATGCTACAGAAACTGACTTATAAAAGACAGGTCACATACTTAAAATACACATTCAAAGGCAGACGTTTGCTTATGTGGTCCGTGGCTTTCATACTTCTACTGATCATGTAAAAACAGAAGCCATGACAGACGAGGGGAGGGTGATGGAAAAGTATACATGGCAAGAAAAAATCCCAAAGAAAGATGCTTAGGTACTTAACATGACCTGATTTTTAGGTGGACTTTTCATCTGATCCATTAATACTCTTGAGCTTGGCTACGTTGCTAGCATTACTCAGATCTACAACTTTCTTGCATAATGCAAGGCCAAAATCAGTTATGATGCTATCAAATAACTAGGTGCTGGGGTTAAGAACAACTGAGGGCGATTACCTGCATACCTTGCTTGAGAGCACCCAGAGGTAAATTGGTCACTGTTGGAAATACAAAGCTAGACTTCGTTCTGGTCCGACAGAATTAAAGAATATAAAGCGCTTTCAGGCAGCCTGCTAGTCAGCTGATCCCCAGACCCAAACTTGCTTAGCTTCATCAAAGCCATTGCACTGAATGTCCACAGACCATGCTGTCTCCAGCTGTTCAAAAGCCAATGAATAGACGCAGTTGAAACCTGCCTAGCACCCGTCTTTCCAAGTTTCAGGGCATGTGCCCAAATCAGATGGCAGCCACTGGTGATGTCTAGATATAACTGGAAAGGTAAAAAGGAATCATTCTTGAAATTTTATCTCAGCTGTGACAGAGAACAGGTGTGAGGTTGTGTCACTGCACTGCAAAAGGGATACTGCAGAGGTATAAAAAGCAAAGGAAACTTATCCAGGGCTAGTCAGAAAAGTGGCACAGAAAGAATGATCAATTCTGCTTTGAGAAAAGACTATGACATTTGGGGCTTTTTAGCTTATAAAAAGTCAGGCTAAAAAGGGCATGATAGAGAGTCACAAAAATGTATGCTGTGGGAAACAGGTATAAGTAGAAAAAGTAGGACACCTGAGATTGCTGTACAGGCCCCTGAGTTTACCTAGTTGCCCAGCCACAGTTAGGACTCAGTTAAAGAGAACAGGGGCAGGGACTTTTAAAATGTCCCAAAGACTCTAAGGGGGAAGGAAAAGATGGGACAGACCACAGAATAAAAGCCTCAAGGAGAGAATCTCAGGGCAGAAAGGAAAGAGATGGATGTAGAACAAGGAGGTTTACAAGGTTGGGGGGAAACCATGGAAAAAGAACAAAGGATTAAAAAGGAAAAGGTAGTAGGAAAGGACAAAAAACTTAGAAGGCTGAAGATCTGAAGCAGCAGAGGAACTGCAAGCAAACCTTCAGTAGAACCGGGAACATGCAAAAACAAGTGGACAACAGAAGATTTGTTCAATTTTACAGCAAGCTGAGTAACATATTGTCCTGATTTAACTGCTATTTATCAACATCAAATATCATTATGTAGGCAGTTGGCCCAATCCTGCAGCTATTTCCCTTTATTATTCTGAAACCTGTTTCTTCACACCATACATAGTTAAGGTATAGAATTCATTCATGCAAGAGAAAGATCTAGTGGCATCTGCCAACTACTGTGAGTAGCAGTCCCCCTGGCTACACGCTGGTACTGGAGGAAGCATGCTGTTTATTACTAGGGCTCACAAGCTGGAAGGAGCTGCTGCCCCCAGGACCTGCTTGTGGCACCTGCTTGGCCAGGGTGCCACTCGTGCTGGACCAAGTGCGTCTTTGGCCTGATTCATCTCAGCTGTCATGTTTCTTTCTTTCAAGAACAGCAACTGTGCAAACAAAGAACATCTGCATCTATTTGCTAATGTGATATCAGTTTATTACATACTAGGCATGATGTGAGGCAAGGTGCTTTGAAGGGCACTGGCAACCAACCCCATACTTTGATTCCTGCGAATTCTTCCTTGACCACCCTACCTCCTTAAGGGAACAGAGCTTGCTCTTCAGTTCACCTGTTCGGATCAAAGGTTAAGAATAATGCAAAAAAAGCAGCTGTCTGATGCTTCTTTAATATCACAGCACCTTCAACACACATGTATCTGAATGCTTAGATATCCACATCAATGATCTCTTAACAGGTTTTCCTTCCTTTACATTTGGAGTAGAAATTAGCCTTGCTTCCCTATCCACCCCTATCTTTGCTTGCATGGCTTTTTAGGTTTGCAATAATGAAAATCCATACATAAATAAGTACCATGAAAATGAAAACTCTCACGATGCTCAAGTCTTCTTTGCTTGCATGGTGTGGTCATGGACTTGCTAAATTGGCACAGTCCCAGCCACGCAGTCAACCAAATTTATCCAGGAAGAGGTCCTCTACAAGCATATG